GGATTTGCCCTATTTGGATCCAATCCTCTCTGCCTGGTTGGCACATGTTGGCACATTCGATCTCTCAATTCCGTTTTCTTGATCATATTGAATGTCCTACGTATGTGGCTTCCAATTTGCTCACAGCCAAAACTAAACCGCAGCGGAACTGCTGCTATTCTATAGCAAAATTGTTCCCGAAGAGTCTTTCTCTTTCTCTTTCTCTATCTCTATCTCTATCTCTATCGTCATCGTCATCGTCGTCGCCATCGTCGTCGTCATCACCATCACCATCACCATCACCATCACCATCATCAGCATCATCAGCATCATCATCATCATCATCATCATCGGTTGGTTTGACATGCCACCTAACCTCTTCACTCTCCATTGTGGCCCCTCTACCTTTCGCATTCCCCTTCTCAAGTTATGTTGCCCATGGTCTTGAGTTGTGTTTAGTGAAGATTCCCTTGGCAAACACTCTCCACGCCGTGTTGAATGTTATCCATAAACCGGTTTGATGTAGAGGTCGTGCAGTGGGGCCCAGTCTGACTGCACAGGTTTTCATGCCATGTCCAGGATGGAAAGAAACACTTGAACCAGCGTGGTCGAAGGCTTGGAAGGACTCGATGTGGGCGCACTTCGAGCCAGGCGGAAACTTGTTGGTTTTGGCAGGCGGCTGGGATGTCAAAAAATTGTTGACAAAAATCAGCCCTTTGACTTTATTTGTTGGATTGCTCTGTCATATTGGAGCTTTCCAACTTTTTGTTACTGTGGAGACAAGGTGCCGATCGCTGCTGAAATAGGTACGAAAGTACTGGAGAAAACCAGAGAAAACCCTTGGAGAGTAGCATCTCGAATCCTGCACTTGTTGTTAGTGAAGTGCTTTGAGTCTTTGAGCATTGTGCTTTGCCATTTTTGGATCTTTGTCCGTTGTTGTTCTCTTTTTGGGCTGTGAATTTTTGCTAGGTCTTGCCTGGGGCTTCCTTGTTCTGCAGCTGATTGTCTATGTCTTCAGGGCCGTTCCCGTGAAATTGCTCCAATGTGGGCGGGTGGAATATGGGTGTGGTACAGAACCGAATGGCTACACAGTCCCCGTTTTCTGCATGCGAGTTTGGCATGCTGATGCTATGAAGACGATGGCCAGTCTCAACAGGATGGTTTTGGTTCTGGACGGCCAGACAGAATATGCCATCAACCGTGCTTATTTCAAACTCTTGTCAGACCCAAAGCAGAATCCTTTCGACTTCTTCCACATCCTCAAGATGGACATGCGCTTCATGCTTTTTGATGCATTCTTTGTCAACCTCCTGCTAAATGGCGCAAAACTGCAATTCCAGACCAGCTATTGGGCCCTCCTGATGTACGCCAACCTTGATGCCCGGTGTTCCAAGATATGGTTCGGGATGTTTCCGGGTGTTTTGGGTTTCGCATGTTCTGAAAGCATAGGACTTTTAGACTTGCTTCGCAGCTAGTCTCCCACATGGACACGAACATGTACTTCCAAAGATTGAGTTTTGATTCATCGCAGGTGAATGTACGCTGGACCCAATTTACTCTGTGCCTGACGCATTTGACTTGCGCGCATTCCTGGTTCCGGAAATTGATAGAGTGGCAGAAGGTGCGCGAGAGCAGAATCATGGTGCGTGAGGACAGCTTGAATTCAATTCAACTTTTCAGTGATTTGCACGAGCAGCTTGAAATCACTTGAGGCCTACTCAAAGCGATATTATCGTTCAGGTTTGATAGCAAATACTGTAGCAGCAACATCATCCATCATCAGGAACGAGCACAGGGGACCACACTGTATCATCGCTAGACGCATTATAGAAAGCTTAGCCTTAGTTGATATGCTCAAGTCCACCGCACAATGTCATACAATATCCGGATATATCTAGATGTTTCCTCCCTTTGCCGTTTCATCCTTTTCTGTCGAGTTCACAGTCAATGAATACGTTTGTTTCTTTTGAAATGTCACTCTTATGTCAGAGTCTGTTGCAGGAGTTTCGGACACGCATGGCTGTTGCAGACTGGCGGGAGTATGACAAGCTTGTCTTCTTCCAGCGATCTGTTGCAGTGGTGCTGACGCTTCAATTTCTATTTCAACTCCTGTGTGCGATCAAATTCTGCATGTCTAAGTGGTATTGCGAAGCTCACCTTTGGAATCTTCTTCATGGTTGCGTTGAAGGTGAGGAGTGGTAGCACAGTTAGTCATGTGGACCATGGAAGTATGACGTTAAGCCAAGTCAAGCGCAGTCATTTAGGACGCAGGCAACTAGAATCAGGAGTTGTATTTTTAAGGCAACAGTCAACATACAATGTAATATATGTGTATAATTGACCTATTTCAGCATTCCAAATGAATAAACTATCCCATGCAAATGACACATTTCCATAAAAGTAAAAAATGATGTAATACTGTATATACACATATATATATATATATGTAATCATATCTACATGTGTAGATAAAGCAATTAAGACACACACACACATGGCTCTTTCGGGGCATCTTGTTTTGCTTCACGCTTTTGTATTACGATGGCTCTTGCTTCTTGGCCTTTAGCTAAGAGTGTTTGTTTATACAGCCTGTTTAAGATATTTCAGAGCAGCGCAAGCAAAATCTATTTTGAACAGGGACTTACTGTATAGTGTACTGGCGCTGGTGTGAATCTACTGCCACCTGCCACCTGCCACCTGCCCTTCCAATCACAGAGTATGGTAGGATGTGCAAATGCCATCGTCTCGTGATACGTGACATGGCTATCTTCGGGCAGAACTACATTGCAAACTCAACAATTTCATCCCAAAATAGGGTCTGCCAAAGCACATCTTTTACAACTTTCCAAAGCATTCCCGACCTGATGTTGGTTCATGCAGCAATCAATGCAAAACCTCCAAAACACGTCACAAACTCATACAATCACAAAATTCCTCGAGGCCTTAAAGTCGTTGATGCTACGAACTTCGACTAGCCTTCACTTCGTCCAGTTGAGTGGGAAGGCGCAGCTTTTCTCCGGGTTGCTACCTGGTAGATGTGAAAACCTTATGGAATGGGAATTTTGCCGTTGCAAAGACTCATTTGCTTTGGTAGTGAATTAAGGGAAGCACTCCTTACACAAGCTATACTGGCGGCACATGAAAATATGACTTGTACGACCTTGCACCTCTGACACTGAGACTGCCAGTAAAGACGGAATGTCACGGGGTGGGACACTATGTCCGTTCCACCAGAGAAAGTAGACACACAATGAACATCAATGAACAAAAATACATGAATGTTTCAGTGCAAAGTGCGAAAGGCCGAAGAGGCTCGAATGCAGTATTCTTCGGTATCCCATGGACAAGATATGATAAGATATGATAAGATAACTTACTCTCAAAGTTGGCCAAGCCTGAATGAAGCGGGTGATTGAGTATGATTGAGTTCCATTGAGTTTCGGCATTCTACTGCTTGTCAACCTGCGAACTGTGATTCATGACATCTGATTCATGTCACCTGTAGTTTTCTAAGTGTGCCCTTCCCAGCCAAAAGATGCCAAAAGGTGGCAAGATTTTCCTTCCAGGTGACTGCCCGACTGCCCGAACTGGGTGTGCTTTGGTGAATGCTAGACCAAAGCCGGAATCGTGGGCAGGTTGACAGGACAATCCTGCAGTCCTCAGCAGACTCAGTGATCACACAAAATCACACAAAGCCGTTTGAATAATTGTATGTTTATTTGCTGCAGTATCCAGCCCAGCAATGCTGGTCCAGTCAGGGATCAAACAGACTTTTGCACTAGTGATCAATCACCTTGCTCAATCCTCTTTGAGTGGGTGCTGTTTGGATGGTATGCCATGATAAATTCTGATAAATGATCCCCTGTGTACTTTCCAGCTGCGACAATGCTACTGAGCATTCTATGCAATGTCACTTCAAAGAGGACATCCCTGAAAGGAAAAAGCGGATAATGTAGATACACACGAATCCTACCTGAAATATTTGCCCATGCGGTAGCAGGATGCTATTCAGAGTGAAATTCACAGACAGGATTCCAATGGATTCCACGTATTACTATTTACAGGTTGCTAGATCGCCAGCCTGGTGAATTTGAGCTGACGAGGATGTGCACTCCTGATTCTATTGGCTTGGTTACTTTATGTTTGGTTTCTTTCGAAGTCACAGGAATCCCGTCTTTTTTGGGGGTCTCAGCAGCAGTCTGAATCTGCCTGAGAGCTTGGTGCTGACAGCGGTGCCTTTGGAGATTCCCTTTGGGACTCTACACGCCTGCCGAGTCGCGCCTTGAATCCTTTCCGATCTGCGAAGCTGCTCGGAATTCCCGTCACTAGTTGCACCGAGAGGGTGTAAAGAGGCCTATGGGATGAGCATTTCTGTGGAGCCTGCATGAGTCTGCATGAGTCTGCACACTAACATATTTAACATGGGTTCAAGATGGTTCAAGATGGTTCAAGCTTCTTGATGGTGGAAGCGCGTGCTCCAATACCTGCCCTGGCACTGGCTCAAAAGACAGGAGCAATCCGCTTTTTTCCCTGGTCCTCATCGCTCACTTGGCCGCCGATGTCGCAGATGTGACCTGACTCATACCAGCCGCGTTGTGCCGTTGTGCGGTTTCATGTCCTTGAGTCTTCCATGTCCGTCGCTGCTTCTGTGCTAAGATTCCCTGGCCTACTGGTATCCAATCTCGATTATCTCAAGTGCACCGAAAAGAGCAAAGGGCCAATCATAGACATTGAAACTGTAGGAGCTCTCGGCCCCTTTTCGTGCACATGATGAATAGTTCAACATCAAACATCCATATTTGAAATGTGTGATAAGTATTGATAAGTTGCGCAAGGATTCCATTTATATATACATGTGTAATCATGTATATACATACGTGTATCATCGTTTATCCATGTTTCATCGGTTCATCATTTTCCAAAGGATCCTGATGGGTTTTTGATGGGCTTGTGTGAATTGAATAGTCAACCTAAGAGTTCGAAGTTGGCCAACCGGATCTTTGATGGCAATCAGGTCGAAGATGTCGTCTGCTGTGGCCGTGGCCGCCCTGGGCCTTGTTCTCCTGAATGGTGTCAGCTTCGTGGCTCCCAGCGTCCCCAAGTCGCTGACGCCCACGCACCTTGTCTCATGAAGCTGAGATAAAATGAGGAATAGGCAGGATAGATGGGATATGCATGGAATGATGGGAGATAGAATGATACTGTAATTAATGATATTCCAACTTGGAGGTTTGTGCCACTTCATACCGCTTCAAAGCCCAAGCTCAGAATATACATACATACATACATACGTACATACATACATACATACATACATACATACATACACATATATATACATATCTCATGATTGACGTACACATGCGCACGCACGCACACACGCATTATATCAATATATATATATATATGTATGTATGTATGTAATGTATGTATGTATGTATGTAATGTAATGTAATGTAATGTAATGTAAAGTAATGTAATGTAATGTAATGTAATGTATGTATGTATGTATGTATGTATGTATACTATATACGACCTGCCTCGTTCGTTGCCCGTTCGTGCTTGAACCAGCAAATGCTGCAACCAGGAGTTTTCCCAGTCTGAAACCGTTCCTATGCCATCCACCTCAGCAGAGACGAGCGTCCCAGCTTATGGCATGGCATTGCTGGCCACAGCGGCTGTTGGGCTTTTGGCAGCCGGTGCCCAACGCACCTTGAAAGTCGCAAGAAAGGCAACTCATGGAATCAAGTTCAGCTACTCCATTCAAAAGGATGCCTATGCTGACTTGGAGTTCATGAATGATGTGGGTTGCCTGGAGTTCTTGGTATATATATAGGTTTATTATGGTTTATCCACTATTATGGTGAATGAAGAGGCATACAACCAAGTAGCCTCCACCCAACACTCACTTGGTAATCCAACAAGCCACTTAGGCTACTTGCCAGATGGCACTCCCATGAACAGGGCAGGCAACGCCATCAACCACCCGGAGACCATCGGACCTGACCCACACACTCCAGGATCTCCTTTGCCAAGGGCCATTTTCACCAACTCCGTTGGCTACCTCCCGGACGGCACACCAATGAACGCAGCAGGCAACGCCTTGAACCATCCGGAGACCATGCAGCCCGATGCGCACGCTCCTGGCTCTCCGTTGCCAGCCTCTTACTATGCTGCTGAGGTCGGGTACCTTGTGGATGGCACCGACATGGCGAGGGCCGGCAACCTCTCTGTGCAGGGTCCCCCTCCTGCAGCCTCCATGCCACCGCCTATGCCTGCTGCAGCCGCTCCTGTTTCCGCTCCCCCAGCTGCCGCCCCAACGTCGGTGGCAGCCGGCTTCACGAGCACCACCATGGAGCCTGTGCATGGCATCAAGTTCAGCTATTCCCTGCAGAAGGATGCCTATGCAGATTTCGAGTTCATCAACGATGTCGGTAGCCTGGCGTGAATTTGGTTTTAGTTGAACAGACCACCTGTACATTCCTTTACTATCCTGTACTTATATTTGTAATATCTTGCAACTAAGTGAAGTTGTCATTACATATTCTGAATTGGAAGTGCGGAAACGTCGAGTAGAAGGGTTCAGTTTGCTCCTTAAGATTGATCAGTTTGGGTTTGCGGCTTGATTCCATTTCTTCTTGCAGAATTGATTCGTTTGTCCGTCCTTGCCTCTCTCGCTGTCGCTCTGTCGCTCTCTCGCTGTCGCTCTGTCGCTCTGTCGCTGTCTCGCTGTCTCTCTGTCTCTCTGTCTCTCTGTCTCTCTGTCTCTCTGTCTCTCTCTGTCTCTCTCTGTCTCTCTGTCTCTCTGTCTCTCTCTCTCTCTCCCTCCCTCCCTCCCCATCTCGTGTGATGTGACGCCGATGAATTCAAGCTTCAGCTTCCAAATGATACAAGTGTCGCATCAGCGAAGTGCAGCACTGAATTACAGTCAGGGGGTCAGCAACAGTGTGGATCCTCTCTTGTATTCCTTTTCCGCTTCTACCCAGCTTTCCTCAGGCTACTTGCCAGATGGCACTCCCATGAACAGGGCAGGCAACGCCATCAACCACCCGGAGACCATCGGACCTGACCCACACACTCCAGGATCTCCTTTGCCAAGGGCCATTTTCACCAACTCCGTTGGCTACCTCCCGGACGGCACACCAATGAACGCAGCAGGCAACGCCTTGAACCATCCGGAGACCATGCAGCCCGATGCGCACGCTCCTGGCTCTCCTTTGCCAGCCTCTTACTATGCTGCTGAAGTGGGCTTCTTGGCTGAGAGTCTGGGGCATAGATGTTTGCACACAGAACCGCACATGCACAAACAATCACAAGCATCTATGATTTTATATTCTATAATAATATGATGTGCGTATAAGTCCGTATGAGTCAAAATTGAGCGCCAAGAAGCATTAAAAAATGGTGTGCTTGCAAGCCTTGAGTTCTGACCAACAAGATGTACAAAAGATCCCCCCCTTATGCAATGAACCGTGCCACGAAGAGTTGGCCAAGTTGATGCTCACAAGAAGCGGCGCGTGCGAACGTTTGAGATTGAGGTTGCAGCTTGATGGAGCTTGCAAGTTCATACAACTGTATGTAGGTCATTTAGAACCATTGAGAGCTCGGAGATACATTTGCGAGGCTGAACAGAGGTCATTCTTTACTTGGCCCCAAAACCAAATTGAAGAGTCCGGCAGAGGGTGCTATTATATAGTCAGTGGTTTGCACAGGTCCTGCCAGAGGTTTGCGGAATGCAACCCAGAGGCTACTAGACCCACCGACCGTGGATACAAGGCTAGGGGAAAGCTTCTTTTGCAAGGAGACCCCAGCAACCACTCAAAACATTTGTCCATGACAAAGATGTTCTTCTAGAGGCTTCCAGTCGGAACTGAGGCTACCTGGTAGATGGCACCGATTTGCGCACTGCAGGAAATCTCTCCGTGCAGGCGCCGGGCACTGCGCATCGCAGCATCGCAGTTGCATGGTTATGCGGATACTGTGTTTGACCAAACAAATCGTTACCACAAGATTACCATGGGTCCAATACTAATAAAACTAATGCGGCCGACATACAAATTCACACACGCAGGCATATACATATAGACACAATATCGCATCATAGATAATATTTATACATTCATGTTGGCGCCAAACCCCACGTTCGCTTATGCCCAAATAACACCCCCATACAATATCATATACTTGTCACCAGAGGATGAATGAAAACACTGGCTAGAAAAAAATGAAAACACTGGCTATACGCAGCGATTTTGACTTTAGGTTTTTAGGATTTAGGGTTTTTATTTCGGGTTTAGGCTTTTAGGCTTTTAGGTTTTTATATAGGGATTTAGGGTTTCAGGTTTTGGAAAGAAAAAAACGCTAGCTCTACGCAGGGATTTGAGCATGTCAAAGGATATGCGGGATCCGATGCGGGCAAGCGTGGGGTTTGCAGCGTAAATGTTATATGTTGCTATATTGCATACATAGTTAGTGCATGAATAGTAATTAATTCATTAATTAATTAATTATTTAATTATTGAATTATTTTATTACTTAATTATCTAATTATTTAATTAATTAATTAGTTAATCAATTTATTCATATTTTTACATAAGATATATATGATATACATACATACATGCATGCATGCATCCATCCATCCATCCATCCATACATACATACATGCATACATACATACATACATACATTCATACATACATAACAAATACATACATACATACATACATACATACATACAAAACACATACATACATACATATATACATACATACATCACAAATACATACGTACATCACAAATACATACATACATACATCACAAATACATACATACATTACATTACATTGCATTGCATTACATTACATTACATTACATTAATTACACTACATTACATTACATTGCATTACATTACATTACTTTCATTACATTACATACATACATACATACATACATACATACATCACAATTACATACATACATCACAAATGCATACATACATACATACATACATACATACAGACATACAGACATACAGACAGACAGACAGACATACAGAAATACAGACATACAGACATACAGACATACAGACAGACAGACATACATACATACATAACAAATACATACGTACATCACAAATACATACATACATCACAAATACATACATACATTACATTACATTACATTACATTAATTACACTACATTACATTGCATTACACTACATTACATCACCTTTCATTACATTACATACATACATACATACATACATACATAGATCACAATTACATACATACATCACAAATGCATACATACATACATACATACATACATACAGACATACAGACTTACAGACATACAGACAGACAGACAGACATACAGAAATACAGACATACAGACATACAGACATACAGACAGACAGACATACATACATACATAACAAATACATAACAAATACATACAGACATACATACAGACATGCACCCATCCATACATACAGACATACATACAGACATGCATCCATACATACAGACATACATACATACATACAGACATCCATCCATCCATCCATACATACATTTTTACATATGTACATATATATTTATACATATACATATACATATACATATACATATACATACATATCTATCTATCTATCTATCTCTCTCTCTCTCTCTTCCCATTAAACATGTACAACTCACACACACACACACTCATTTTGCCGCATACCGCACATGCCTGTCCTGTGGACCATTGTTGATGACAGCCTCAGGGTGTCCCTCCTGCACCTGCCGCTGTGCCACCTGTGAGTGCTGCACCTGTGCCTCCCCCGATGTATGTGGTGGAGGAGCCAGTGGCGGCTGCCTTTGTGGGAGCCTCCGCTACCTGATTGAATTGGTGAGATATGATGAGACCAATTGATTTGAGAAGATCAAATGATTAGGTATATTGACTTATATTGTATGTACATCAATATCCTTCAATCATTTACAAAAAGCAGGTACGCATGATGCAAAGAAACCGCGTGCAGATGCACATACCAGTGCAGTTTGATATTTTTGGCTCATGTTGGTGTCTTGAAAGGGGACCACGAAGCTGGGGGTGTTGGCGTGGTTCTGGGTGGAGCTCCTGAGGGGTTCACATGCACAAGAGCAATTTCCAGGCACCATGATCACTATGTGGAATCATGGGGGCAAAAAACATCAAAAGAAAACATTGGTTTTACCATGTTTTACCTATGACAGGGTGACCTGCTGGCCATGGAGAGAGACTTAGGAAGCTAAGTCGTTGAGGAGAGTGGGCACGAACCTGCAGTTTTTCGATGTTGACAAAAGATTCCTCCAGCGAATGTCCATTGATGGGGTGTAGTACCATTGACCGAGGCTAACATCGGAAGCGCACAGAAGGGAGCAGACAAGAGAGTTCCTTCGGGCTTCCTCTATGCAGTGCAGAAGGACCACGGTCCCGGAAGAAAACTGGTTGGAGACTCTTAAGTTTAAGGGACATTGCAGAAACTGGTGACTGACAGCTACAAAGGCCGATAAAACAGCCAACGTTTGATTGTTCCTTAGCCCCAATGGAAGTCGTATGGAACCCTATGCTGCCAGGACGCCTATGCTGACTTGACCTATGGAAATGATGTTGCTCGGCGGTGGCTAGGGGATGAGTCTGCATAAGAAATTGTCCCGCTGGGGGATGCCTTCTAGCCGCTTAACAATTGAAAGAGCCTGCTAGCTGCTAGTTCTGTGTAGGGCTAGTGAAACCTGCTCTCAAGACCCTCTCAATCCAAGACTAATCTGTGATTCGCTTGATTTGTTGTTGCGTGTAGGGCCTGTAGCTTTGAGGTTGGCTACCTCCCAGATGGAACTCCTATGAACAGGGCAGGCAACGCCATCAACCACCCCGAGACGATTGGACCAGATCCTCACGCTCCAGGCTGACGGTGGGCGATTTCAACTTCGAGATAAAAAACAAGATGTGAAAAGCACCGAACTCATGGCTAAAATACATATACTAACAAGATGGTAAGAAGATGCTAAAAAGATGCTAACAAGTATTTAAGTCCAAACTGCAGTCCAGTGAAGGAAATGGTTAAGTTATATTTTATAATATTTATTATATGCATATGCATCATGGAGGCACTCCACGCACACAGCTTGATCATGCCAGCAAATGTTTCTGGAGGCTCCCCCTTGCCTCGTGCTATCTTCGTGAACGATGTCGGCTACTTGCCGGATGGCACACCTATGAACAGGGCTGGCAACGCCATCAACCACCCAGATGCTTGACTTCATTTGAAGTGGAAAGACTCAATAGTCTCGGGGGATCTCGGGGGATGCCGAAGAAAGACATTTCGAATCTCCCATGGAAGCAATGTAAATGTAGGTCTGAGCGGTGCAGCTGAACTCAGGAGACCATTGGACCTGATCCACATACTCCCGGCGCTGAATTGCCGCCATCGGTCTATGCTGCAGATATCGGCTACTTGGTGGATGGCACGCCCCTGGACGCTGCAGGCAACAACGCAGTTCACTGAGATCGACTAGTCTGAGGACTGCGGTTTTAAGAGCTTCACCTGCTTAGTCAGATTTGTGCAGCTGGAATGGTTGAAGAACCAACCATACAATCAACGTGTCCATTGGACATCATTGGCAGCCAGCAAGGTATGGCCATGCCAAAGCTGCAACAAATTTGTGGCTCCAGCCCAGAAGGCTGGATGCTGATCATCTATATAAAAAATATAAATAGGATTTGATGGGATTAGATGGGTATTCCATGGTATCCTCACACTTCCTGACATTTGTTTAGCCAGTTACCAGGGTGGTTGGAGCCACCGTGAATCATTTCTCCTTGCATTGCAGACATCCCGAATCAGCTCTGCTTGACGTAAAAGGCTAGGTGCTTTATTGCCTGCCGGAAGATCCAAGGACTTGGCAAATGAGAGTGTACGTATTAGAATTGGATTAGAATTGAAATCAGCTTAACATATGTGCTGTACCCTGCAAAGCCTAGGGCCTGGGCAAACGCAAACAACATAGATATATACAGTAAGGTAATGTAGTAATGCCAGGGTAGGAGCCGTTTTTAGACCATTCAGCATTTTGGCGGCTTGCTGGGCTCAAAGGGATGGATGTTCTGGCCTCCGATCGTCCATGTTGTAGATGCTTGGACAGAATTCTGTGAGACCATCGCCTATTATCAATATTCATTCCATGGCCACACCTTCTGGCAAGAAGCATCCAAGAATCGGGGGCTCTGTCTGGAAACAGCTCATTTCTTCAATCAAATCATTTGGTGAGAAATTGGCAGTGTTGATCATTGACCTATACTGAGGGATGGACGTCCACTGGTTGATAGGGACGATAGCGATGAGGATTCTCAACAGATTCCGGTGACGATACCCATTAGTCCCAGCCATGACATATTATGATATATTATGTAGGTACTGTATGGTACCGCAGTACCATCAGCTCACCTGTGGACCAAGGCTGGTGGACCTTGGTAGCTTTAGCCACGGAGGCGGGGGGCGCTGGCAGCTGAGCCTTGTAGAGGTAAACATGTAAACATCCCATGATAAGATCAGATCATACATGATATGAGTATAGGATAAGCGGATAATCATAATACCGGGTGTAATATGATTGAAAGCATATTAAAACATATTAAAGGCGGATGCGTTTGAGGATGTTTGAGGAAACATCATGAAACACCTGACACCTGTGCAGCACCGGTTTCCACAAACACAATTGGATCCGTGGCTCAAGCAATTTCGTGCGACTGCGCTTCCCCTGACGCTCATCCCTCGATCTGTCTGATCCAACCTCTCCGAGTGTTGCTGGGATGCTACTTGACCCACACGTAGCGATGTTGCACATTGGTTATTGGTTCGCAGGAAATGGAAGATCTCCACAATCCGACCGGAATTTCGTGTCGCCGCTAGCCATACCAAAATTTAGGAGGCTTAGGACAATCAGCCCCATCTATCCCCATCTATTATTGCTACCAAGATAGATCGAGGCTGAAAGCCCAACTGCCCAGTTGAGTCATTTTCCTGCCGCCTCCCAAGGACCAAGATGTCATTCGCCTTGGCTCTGGCGGTAGGCGTTGTCCTCCTGACGTTGTTGCTCGCCCAGAAATAGTGAAGGATCATGAAGAAAAGTATTGAAACAGTTCATAACAATTCGACATCTCACATTTTTTGAGAGTCCAAGTTTTGAGATGCAGAAAGTGCGAGGCCAAACATGCCAAACAACTTGTTTAAAGCCTCGGGATGGTTCGTGTAAATGTTTACATGCATACAAATGTACATGGTACAGCTATATTCTAAACATGTATTAATAGCATCACATAGGTTCGTATAATTATAGTATCTATAAATATCTATTATAAGGTTTATTTCACTTTAGTACTTTGTAGTCACATTCCGGTCACTCTGTCCAGTGAAAGTCGCCCAGGTTGCCCTCCTCCTTGAGCTTCACTGCCCCGGTGCACGGCCTCGTGGCCTCCGGAAGCACCGGAAGCGTCCCGGCTGGACCGAAGGTGCTGCCGCAAAGCACGGCGGCGCCAGCTTCCACCAGTGCCTTGGTGCGATGTGACCGTAGGCAAACGTGTAAACCCAATGGTGCGTCAATTGGGACGGTTTTATTTATTTTATATGTTTTTATATATACATATATATACATTGTTTGATTTTATTCGAAAAAACATGTGTACACGCTATTCCACGCTGAAGGGTTCTTACTGTGAGTGTAAAGGCCGGTGTTTGATCAGGATGCTCCAGCTGGCCTGCGGCATTTTACCTGTAGATTCGCGCATAAAGATCATAAAGTGCTTAACTTGTGAAATGTCCAAGTGCATTTCGACTGCGCAGGCTTGCACAAAGTGTGGTCCCCGGTGTAGTCCCCGATCTTGGCGTGCGGAACTGCGCAGGCTTGCACAAAGTGTGGATCGCGATCGTGGTCCCCGGCATTTTTCTTGTCAATTCTTGCGCAAAGTGACTCTTGTGAAATGTCCAAGCGCATTTCAACTGCGCAGGCTCGCACACAGTTTGGTCCCCGGTGTGGTCCTCGCTCTTGGTCTGCGGCATTTTACCTGTAAATTATTGCATCAAAAGCTTCTTGTGCAATGTCCAGACGCATCCAGATGCATTTCGATTGCGCAGGCTCGCACAAAATGTGGTCCGCGGTCTTGGTCTGCGGCATTTTACCTGCAAATTCTCGCATAGAGGTGCTTCTTGTGCAATGTCCAAGTGCATTTCGACTGCGCAGCCTCGCACAAAGTGTGGGTCGCGATCGTGGGCCCCGGCATTTTTCCTGGTAATTTTTCGGCAAAATGGTTTTGGTGAAATGTCCAAGTGCATTTCAACTGCGCAGGCTCGCACAAAGTGTGGTCCCCGGTGTGGGCCCCGATCTTGGTCCGCCGCATTTTACGTGTAAATTATTGCATCAAAAGCTTCTTGTGCAATGTCCAAGTGCATTTCAACTGCGCAGGCTCGCACAAAAGTGTGGTCCCCGATCTTGGTCTGCAGCATTTTACTTGTAAATTCTCGCATAGAGGTGCTTCTTGTGCAATGTCCAAGTGCATTTCGACTGCGCAGCCTCGCACAAAGTGTGGGTCGCGATCGTGGGCCCCGGCATTTTTCCTGGTAATTTTTTCGGCAAAATGGTTTTGGTGAAATGTCCAAGTGCATTTCAACTGCGCAGGCTCGCACAAAGTGTGGTCCCCGGTGTGGGCCCCGATCTTGGTCCGCCGCATTTTACGTGTAAATTATTGCATCAAAAGCTTCTTGTGCAATGTCCAAGTGCATTTCAACTGCGCAGGCTCGCACAAAAGTGTGGTCCCCGATCTTGGTCTGCAGCATTTTACTTGTAAATTCTCGTTTGTGCAATGTCCAAGTGCATTTCGACTGCGCAGGCTCGCGCAAAGTGTGGGTCGCGATCGTGGTCCCCGGCATTTTTCTTGTCAATTCTTGCACAAATGGTTTTGGTGAAATGTCCAAATGCATTTCGACTGCGTAGGCTCGCACAAAGGGTGGTCCCCGCTGTGGTACCCGATGTTGGTCCGCAGCATTTTAAATTCTTGCATAAAAAGCTTCTTGTGCAATGTCCAAGTGGATTTCGAGTGTGCAGGCTCGCGCAAAGTGTGGATCGCGATCGTGGGCCCCGGCATTTTTCTTGGTAATTTTTCCACAAAATTGTTTTGGTGAAATGTCTAAGTGCATTTCAACTGCGCAGGCTCGCACAAAGTGTGGTCCCCGGTGTGGTACCCGATGTTGGTCCGCGGCATTTTACGTGTAAATTATTGCATCAAAAGCTTCTTGTGCAATGTCCAAGTGCATTTCAACTGCGCAGGCTCGCGCAAAAGTGTGGTCCCCGATCTTGGTCTGCAGATGTCTGCAGCATTTTACTTGTAAATTCTCGTTTGTGCAATGTCCAAGTGCATTTCGACTGCGCAGGCTCGCACAAAGTGTGGGTCGCGATCGTGGTCCCCGGCATTTTTCTTGTCAATTCTTGCACAAAATGGCTCATGTGAAATGTCCAAGCGCATTTCAACTGCGCAGGCTCGCGCACAGTTTGGTCCCCGGTGACACCGTGCTCACCGGCGTGCACATTGTGTCCAAAAATTGTAAGTTTACCACAGTGCCGTGCTGATTTGATGATTTGAAAACCTGGAAAAATTTGAGGCGCGTTTTTTGGCTTTTCACCGTCATCGCTGACCCCACCCCATCAGCAGCGTAGAAACAAGTAATGTAGCAACGATCCCACAGATCTTTGCAGCGTAGCACACTATAATGTACGAAGTTGTACAAGGAACGTTGACATGCCCCCCCCCACCCCACCCCGCCCACCCCAAAAACGTGCGTTTTACGAGCACGGTTTTCGGTCCGCAGGCATTAACATGTACACACACACACATACATATACGCATACGCATACGCATACGCATACGCATACGCATACGCATTATACGCATTATACGCATTATACGCATTATACGCATACGCATACACACACATACATGCATACGTGCATGCATACATACATATGTACGTACATATGTACGTAGTATGTACGGTTTTGTGCGTACGTAAGTAAATACATACATGCCATACGTATAATAATTACATATGTGGCATGTGTATATATATATATAATATGGAACATTATTTATAGTTTTCATTCAAGGAGATTTTGAATGTCATTGAATGCCATCGGATGATATTGGCTATCTATTTGGGATCTGCATGGCCATTTTACTGCAAGTCAGCCGTTGGAACGATCCTTTCCCAAGGCACTCCGATGTATGGCATGGCTTTGCTGGCCACCTGTGCAGCAGGGTTCTTGGCACGCATGAAACGAAACGTGAAAGTGGCATGCCACGAGGCCATGCACGGCATCAAGTTCAGCTACTCTATTCAGAAGGACTGCTGGAAAATGCTGGCAGGCCCTAGTTGTGGCTCAGGTATTTGAGGGCAAAATAGGATATCTGAGGCCAAGAGCCAAGACTGTTTCGTCGTTGAAATTAAACGATTAGCCACTGGCATTCAACAATTTATTCTCGCTTAGGTGCCGTGACAGTCAGAAAAAAAAGAGATCCAAGTCCAAAGCGGTCATCAAGAGGTACTACTAAGAGGAAACTGATAGATTGATGGATGGTTGTGGTTGGTGAGCTCCATTGAACAGACAGTTGGTGATGGTTGGTGAATGTTGCTTTCCCCAGGATGCTTACGTGGATTTGGAGTTCCTGAACGATGTGGGTCCCTTGGCTACGGTGGCTGTGGAGATCAAATGGAGATCATCCCGCCATCAAACCATATACTATAATACCCGACCATCAAACATGACATTGGAGAGACCCCTCCATTGATAGATGACTTAGATATACTTAAATGACTTATTTACCTTAATAATCTAACAAAAATGCTGATTTGTCATTGCCAAGTGAGATTCCAATAAGATCAGATGGTATCCAAGCGGTTATGACTACAGAATGCGAGATGTTCTAAAGAAACAGATGCAGACGTGAATGCTCACAATGAGGATTGGTAGCTTGGTTTCAATGCGTCTGCCCATGCATCTTAGGCTACTTGCCAGATGGTACGCCAATGAACAAGGCAGGCAACGCCATCAACCACCCGGAGACCATTCAGCCAGATCCACACACTCCGGGCTCTCCATTGCCCCGTGCTCTCTTCTGCAATTCTGTCGGCTACCTCCCAGATGGCACGCCGATGAATGCCGCAGGGAATGCGATGAACCACCCTGAGACCATGCAGCCAGACATGCACACTCCAGGCTCCCCATTGCCACCGTCCCACTACTATGCCGATGTGGGCTACTTGGTGGATGGAACCGATATGGCCACTGCTGGCAACTTGTCTGTGCAAGGGGCACCCGCTCCTGCACCGTCAATGCCCGCTCCACCTGTTGCAGCACCGACGCCTGTTGCAGCACCAACGCCTGTTGCAGCACCAACACCCATGGCACCCCCATCTTCAGTTTCAGGAGATGTGATGCATGGAATCAAGTTCAAGTATGCTATCCAGAAGGATGCACATGTGGATTTGGAGTTCTTGAACGATGTGGGTGCCTTGGCATGATGATTCACGCAGGAGGTGGCATGTGCAGATGTCGCAAACATGGTATAGATATGTTTAGATGGCTTTAGATGCTTTCGATTTTTGGTCAAACCTGAGGCTTTCAGCCCGTAAGCCTTACGGGGTGTCAATGGATAAATGGATCTAAGCAAAGCGAAGGCATTCTGCATGCTGCATGCAGTCTTGTTCTTTCATGTTTTTTTCCTGATTTGCCAATGGGCAACCCACCTTTGCAAGACATGCTTCGGCATCATCTTAGGCTACTTGCCAGATGGCACGCCAATGAACAAGGCGGGCAACGCCATCAACCACCCGGAGACCATTCAGCCAGATCCACACACTCCGGGCTCTCCATTGCCCCGTGCTCTCTTCTGCAATTCTGTCGGCTACCTCCCAGATGGCACGCCGATGAATGCCGCAGGGAATGCGATGAACCACCCGGAGACCATGCAGCCAGACATGCACACTCCAGGCTCCCCATTGCCACCGTCCCACTACTATGCCGATGTGGGCTACTTGGTGGATGGAACCGATATGGCCACTGCTGGCAACTTGTCTGTGCAAGGGGCACCCGCTCCCGCACCGTCAATGCCCGCTCCACCTGTTGCAGCACCGACACCTGTTGCAGCACCAACGCCTGTTGCAGCACCAACACCCGTGGCACCCCCATCTTCAGTTTCAGGAGATGTGATGCATGGAATCAAGTTCAAGTATGCTATCCAGAAGGATGCACATGTGGATTTGGAGTTCTTGAACGATGTGGGTGCCTTGGCATGATGATTCATGCAGGAGGTGGCATGTGCAGATGTCGCAAACATGGTATAGATATGTTTAGATGGCTTTAGATGCTTTCGATTTTTGGTCAAACCTGAGGCTTTCAGCCCGTAAGCCTTACGGGGTGTCAATGGATAAATGGATCTAGGCAAAGCGAAGGCATTCTGCATGCTGCATGCAGTCTTGTTCTTTCATGTTTTTTCCTGATTTGCCAATGGGCAACCCACCTTTGCAAGACATGCTTCGGCATCATCTTAGGCTACTTGCCAGATGGTACGCCAATGAACAAGGCGGGCAACGCCATCAACCACCCGGAGACCATTCAGCCAGATCCACACACTCCGGGCTCTCCATTGCCCCGTGCTCTCTTCTGCAATTCTGTCGGCTACCTCCCAGATGGCACGCCGATGAATGCCGCAGGGAATGCTATGAACCACCCTGAGACCATGCAGCCAGACATGCACACTCCAGGCTCCCCATTGCCACCGTCCCACTACTATGCCGATGTGGGCTACTTGGTGGATGGAACCGATATGGCCACTGCTGGCAACTTGTCTGTGCAAGGGGCACCCGCTCCTGCACCGTCAATGCCCGCTCCACCTGTTGCAGCACCGACGCCTGTTGCAGCACCAATGCCTGTTGCAGCACCAACACCCATGGCACCCCCATCTTCAGTTTCAGGAGATGTGATGCATGGAATCAAGTTCAAGTATGCTATCCAGAAGGATGCACATGTGGATTTGGAGTTCTTGAACGATGTGGGTGTCTTGGCATGATGATTCACGCAAGAGGTGCCATGTGCAGATGTCGCAAACATGGTATAGACATGTTTAGATGGCTTTAGATGCTTTCGATTTTTGGTCAAACCTGAGGCTTTCAGCCCGTAAGCCTTACGGGGTGTCAATGGATAAATGGATCTAGGCAAAGCGAAGGCATTCTGCATGCTGCATGCAGTCTTGTTCTTTCATGTTTTTTTCCTGATTTGTCAATGGGCAACCCACCTTTGCAAGACATGCTTCGGCATCATCTTAGGCTACTTGCCAGATGGCACGCCAATGAACAAGGCGGGCAACGCCATCAACCACCCGGAGACCATTCAGCCAGATCCACACACTCCGGGCTCTCCATTGCCCCGTGCTCTCTTCTGCAATTCTGTCGGCTACCTCCCAGATGGCACGCCGATGAATGCCGCAGGGAATGCGATGAACCACCCTGAGACCATGCAGCCAGACATGCACACTCCAGGCTCCCCATTGCCACCGTCCCACTACTATGCCGATGTGGGCTACTTGGTGGATGGAACCGATATGGCCACTGCTGGCAACTTGTCTGTTCAGGCGCGCTTTGCCAAACTGGTCTTGTTGGACCTGAGTTTTGAAGATAGCGCCTATGGAGTCATCTTACTTTTGGTTGAGAGCGCAGCTCCCTGATAACTGAAATTTGAAGCAAGTAACGACGATAGTAAACCAGTTACTGTAGTAGATTTCTCTAGGGGGAAGCCAGGACTTGAACTTGTTCACTTATCAGGCAAAGTAAATGGGGTGCTTTCAGGCATTCGTTTGCTTTCGTGTCGAGTGAAGTTAGTACCCTACTCGTATCTGTCGTACTGCCAGCAATTTTCAATTTTTCCGCGTCTTGGAGGGCATGAGTGATGCTAAACCTCGAGTCAAACGATTGGATGAGTTCTGGGATGCATGTGTTTGAAACCTTTGTGTCTGTGACAGGAGAAGAGCGTGGCAGTGAAGGCAGCGGAAGCTGTTGCGGCTGCAGTGGCTGCTGCGATGCCGGCGTCCCCTGTGACAGTACCCGAGACAGCACCCGTGGCGGCCGCCTTTGTGGGAGCTTCGGTGGCTTGATGGCAGCTGTCAGGGACTATGCTGGGAAGCCCTGTTGAACAGGAAGTGGAGGGTATAGAGATGGGGAAAGTATGGTAAACTCAAAGTCTTGTAAGCCAGTTGCAGAAACATGTACCAATGTACCATGATTTAAACTTGTTATAAGCAGTGCTCCATGATGTTTTCCTGCCATTGATTCGGGATAGATAGATAGATAGATATATATATATCATAAATAAATAAATAACTATATATATATATATATCTCTCTCTCTTCGAACCAATGGAGAAAAGGACTCGGCACCAGCCCGTGCTTTGTTGGCAAATCTGAGGCCCAGGCTCAACAGGTTCAGCACCCCACAGAATTGCATAGGTCCTAGTGTGCCGAAATGTGCTGGACATGGAAATCCAAGTCCTCAAAGGTTCATGCAGATTCTTGCGCAACAAATCCACCCAGATTCTCCCTATGCTGCAGGCGCAGGCGCCCGCCAAGACACGCCAGCCCATGGGTTTTGCATACTCCATCCAGCAGGACTGTCAAGCTGGGCCGAGGGATCAGGTAAAACATACACGGTTGATACACCGTTGATCACGGTTGTACTGGTGGCTTCTATGCATTGCCGTCATGCATCGTTATGTGCAGCCATGGTGCATGACCATCATGACCATTTCTTTGGCTTAGACTATGGCTACGGGTTTCACGGTTACAGTAAGTGGAGGACGTCTATGCAGACTTCCTCTTCACCAATGATGTTACTGGGCCAAACTCTTGCAGTACCATGCGGTCGTCCGTGAACCAATCTGAAAATGAGCTTTTGCATATTTTTGCAGGCTCTTGTCGGGTGATATGAACATTTTCGGATGCCATTGCTTGTGCTATCTTTCGGGCATGCGTTCATGTCCTGCATGATGCAGCAGCCTGACTGGACCTGGGATACTAGACGACGGATGGCCCGAGAGCGTAGAGGAGCAGGGTCTTCTCTTGTTAGTATGGAGACACCATATTACAAAACAATATATTAAAGATGTGTTATACGCAGTCGAAAAGAGGAGTATCAAGACAATATAGCATAAGTACAAGACAATAGTTGCATAAACTCTTTACACACAGACACTTTTACACACAGACGCTTTTACACACAGACACTTTTAGCACAGACCCTTTTACACACAGGAGCTTTTACACACAGAAGCGTTTACACGCAGACGCTTTTACACACAAAAGCTTTTACACACAGACGCTTTCACACACACAAACGCCTTTACACACAAACACTTTTACACACAAACACTTTTGCACACAAAAGCTTTTACACACAGACGCTTTTACACACAAACACTTTTACACACAGACGCTTTTACACATAGACGCTTTTACACACAGACACTTTTACATACAGACACTTTGACACATAGACGCTTTTACACACAGATGCCTTTACACACAGACGCTTTTACACGCAGATGTTTTTACACACAGACTCTTTTACACACAGACGGTTTCACATACAGACGCTTTCACATACAAATACTTTTACACACGAACACTTCCACACACAGACGCTTTTACACACAGACGCTTTCATATACAGAAGCTTTTACACACAGACACTTTTTCACACACTTATTTACACACATATAGTGTTTTCACTGTGTCCGCGCGTGTTTCTGTCTTATCCGATATTCTGTAGAAGAGTGTAGCCATATTAATCATTTGAATCATTCTGCGTCTGATGAGATTCCTGCGTCCCGAACTTCCAAACAAAAAAATTGTGAGTGCCTCAGGCAAAATCACAGAGAACAACAACTCCGATCGTCTCAGATGAAAAACGCATAACAAATGCAGCCAGAAGTGCCTATGCATGTGAAACAACCCGATGCAGAAAAAACACGTGGAGCCTGAGTCCGCGACAGATGCAGCACACTCGAACAGCTCTGGTGATGCTACTGTATTTACACACACACACACTTTTACGCACATACAGACATATTTACACACATACACACTTTTACACACACACACACGCTTTTACACACAGACGCTTTTACACACAGACACTTTTACACACAGACGTTTTTACACAGGCGCTTTTACACACAGGCGTTTTTACACACAGGCGCTTTTACACACAGGCGCTTTTACACACAGACAGTTTTACACACAGAGACTTTTACACACAGACGCTTTTGGACCACACAGTTCGGTCATTCTGAGAGCATTTCCACACACAGACTTATTTACACACACACACACTCGCTTTTACACGCACACGCTTGTACACACAGACACTTTTACACGCAGACGCTTGTACACGCAGACGCTTTTACACGCAGACGCTTTTACACGCAGACGCTTTTACTGGCGAACACACTTTTACACACAAACGCTTTGACACACAGACACTTTTACACAACAGAAACTTTTACACACAGACGGCTTTACACACAGACGCTTTTACACACAGAGGGTTTTACACAGAAGATTTTACACACAGAAGCTTTTACACGCAGAGGCTTTTACACACAGAAGATTTTACACACAGAAGCTTTTACACAGACGCTTTTTACACAAACGCTTTTACACACAGAAGCTTTGACACACAGACACTTTTACACACAGACACTTTTACACACAGACGCTTTTACACAGAGCACACAGAAGCTTTTAATAGCTTTTAAGCAGACGCTTTTACACATACGCTTGATGCTTTTACACACAGAAGCTTTTGACACACAGCACACAGAAGCTTTGCACACACAGAAAAAATCGCAATTTTACCTCAGTTTTTGACGATCGAACCTCATTTCGTGCGAAAGGGTTGTGCGGGACGACTTGAACTCGCACTTTTACCTCAGTTTTTGGCGATCGAACCTCGTTTCGTGCGAAAGGGTTTAGCCGGACACTTTGAAATCGCAATTTTACTTCAGTTTTTGGCGATCGAACCTCATTTCGCCAGGGTTGCGCGGGACGACTTGGGAATCGCAATTTTACCTCAGTTTTTGACGATCGAACCTCGTTTCGTGCGAAAGGGTTGCGGCGGACACTTTGAAATCGCAATTTTACTTCAGTTTTTGACGATCGAACCTCGTTTCGTGCGAAAGACGCAAAAGGGTTGCGTTTCGTGCCGTCTCGTTGGCACTGCCCCTGCCCCCGCCTTCAGGAGAGAAATAGAAAAGAAGGAGAGGGCAAGAGGGCAAGAGGGCAAGAGGGCAAGAGGGCAAGAGGGCAAGAGGGCAAGAGGGCAAGAGGGCAAGAGGGCAAGAAGAGAAGATGTGAAGATGTGAGGATGTGATGAAGATGTGAAGATGTGAGGATGAGAAGATGTGAAGATGAGAAGATGTGAAGATGAGAAGATGTGAAGATGTGAAGATGAGAGACAGACCCACACTATTGGAAGAACCCTGCGCTCAGACGCTCTCGGGAAAAAGAAGTTCGTATGTTTAGCATTGTCTAACTTTGCATTTGTTGCCGTCAGTGTTTTTGGCTGGGGCCCAGGTTTGGTTCCCAACGAGTTCTAAGTAGAATGTAGAGTTGTCCGTAATTCTGAATCCCATCGTTGTGTTGGCGATGCACTCGCATAAGCCAATGATGGGTGATGTTCGTTGGTTAGAACCTTCATTACGGTCGCGTGTCTCTCAGAGCAGCTCAACACAGGTTGGCTACTTGCCCGATGGCACTCCGATGAACAAGGCGGGCAGGTTGCCATTCGAGACTATTCGAGGAAGAGTCGTGCCATGTCGTGCCATATTATGGCTGCGATGGCTGTCCGGCGTAAGCAAAAAAAACCGCGTTTCCTAAGCTGGCGTAAGGTGATAGATGCATGGTGTAAGCCCCTGCCTCAGCATTCCCGTCAACATGTCCTAATCGGACGCGTAACCGGTTCCTGGCAGGAAAACCACATGTTGGGTAAATTCAAGTTGCGTAAGTATCGTCGTATAAGTGTTCCGTGAGTCCGTTTCACACCGCGTAAGTGAAAATTGTGGTCGCGCAGGTAGTGTGTAAGCCCGCGAGTAGGCGAACCCATGCAATACAATATAGTAGGCATTTAATTACACCTTTTAAGGCGCTGCTAATTAGATGTCTTTTAAGAGAGATGAAGGTGCACATGCGCCTCTTGATTCCGGATTCTTTCATCTGAAATACAATTCCTACTAGTAGGTGATGTCGGATCATAAGGGATCTCAGACATATACAGTACATGAACCGGCTTCCGTATCCACCTGTTTTCACATCACTTCCTATGAGACAAGATCGCACAAGTGCGAGGCTGGCAACTGCATGAATCATCCGGAGAACATCGGACCTGATCCACATGCCCCTGGCATCTTGGAAGTTTTGGTTCACAGGGGTTGCCACATGTCTCGGAGCACCGCCCAGGTACAGACATAGACGGCACGCATCAATATTAATCATACATGATCTTACCCGATGCATCCACCCAAAGAGGCAGACATACATAGGAAGGCATTTGGCATTTGGACATGGAAGAGTAGGGACGCGTGTTTGTTCAGTTTGCCTTGGTATAGATTTGACTTGATTTGAAACCGAAAAGCGCAGTGGCTATTTTTTGCCTTTGTCCGGATCGAACATGACTTATTCTTTGTCAGATGCTGGAACAATTTTCTGGCTTAACATGGCTCAACTTGACTGACCCCACCTGGAGCCTTCACTGTGCATGTTGTTCTTGGGAAGGCAGAGTGAATGAAAGACATGGGAATCTGTGGGAATTTCGCGTTCAGTACTCTTTCGCTTAATCCATTCAAGTTGCTGCTTCTGCTTATATATTTGGATTCATTTGGTTGATCATGTTCATTCTACTTACTATTCAAAGAATTCACGATTCTCTTTCTCTACTTTGCAGCCGAGGATCTCCTTTGCCCCGTGCCAACTTTGTGAATGATGTGGGCTACTTGCCAGATGGCACACCTATGAACATGGCGGGCAATGCCATCAACCATCCTGACGCTGGGCCCTGGCATTGAAGCATTTTGCAATATTTTGCCTTTGTATTTGTATGTATTTGTGCATTTCGCGTGCTTTGTGCACAGATGAATGTATGCAAATACATGTCAGACATTGCAAGACTGTTCGGCCATCAGTGCATTTTTTTGTTACTGTCTGTGGTCAGGGCATGGGTATAGACGGGTGATGTGAGAAGATACTTCCGCCATCTTCAGCCCCACACTATGTATAATATATATATATATATATTAAAACTAAAACGCACACAGATAGATAGATAGATCGATAGATAGATAGATAGATAGACAGATGGATAGATAGATAGATAGGTAGATAGGTAGATAGATAGATAGACAGACAGACAGATAGATAGATAGATAGATGGACAGATAGATAGATAGATGGATAGATAGACGGATGGATAGAGATAGATAGGTAGATGGATAGGTAGACAGATAGACAGATAGACAGATAGACAGATAGACAGATATATTATAATATAATTTCATATTATACCATATTATATTAGATATAAATTATATTATATTAAACTAAATTATATTGAATTAAATTAAATTATATTAAATTAAATTATATAATATAATAATAATAGTAATAATAATAATAATTTAAACCATATATATTATATACGCGGACCTATTGAAACTTGGACTTCTTTTGACGGGCGCACTAGCCATTGCATTGACTATGTGGCCATTGACATCGCCCAGATGCCCTACTGCACTTATTCGAGCTTGGTGGAACATCTCGACCTTGGGCACGCTAAGTGGGACCACACAGCAACTGCGATTCAGCTTACCTGGAAGGCTTTATGCTCCACTCCGTCCAAGTGGCCTGGACGAACCTTGAAGTATGACCCGCACAGGATCACTGGGACGGTCACTGCTACCGTTCTTGAGTCTTACGCGCCTGCTGCGTGGTGCACCGACATTGAACAACATGTAGCTGGATTTAGTGAGCACATCCAGGCCGAGCTTTGTCGAGCATGTCCATCGGGGTCAGACAATCCCAAGAAACTTTTCTTCGATGAGAACTTGTGGGGCCTTCGTCGAGGCAAACTACGATCACGCAAGGCCATCAAGTGATTCTGAGCACAGATCCGGAAACGAACTGCTTATTGCTGTGAACGAGTCGTGGAAGACTGCTCATCGCCCTGAACCTGCCGACAGACCAGCTCATGGGGATTGCCATTCACCTATCGTGCCAGCCTGCTTTGTTACAAGCTGAGTGCCTGGAGCCTTTTCCATTCTCTTACATTTCAGTTGAAAGATCGAATCGAGCAGGCCAAGCAGGAGTATATCAACAAGATCTTCGCCGACTTGGATCCTCAAGCTTCAGCCTCTACAATTCTTCACGCCCTGCGGCGACCTTCCAACTTGAAGACATTGAAGACTGCTGCCCTTCCCTGTCTTCGTCGAGGTGATGGGAGTCACTGCAATGGTCCGCCGGAAGCCCGTGAAGAATGGATAGCCTTCTTCCAACAAATGGAAGGTGGAGTCAGGCTCAGACCAGTAGCTCAACGAGAACAATGGATTATACAGGGCTATGTCAGATGCAGAAGATCCAGTTTGATCTGGACATTCATGCTATACCTACCCTTCTTGACCTTGAACGAGCCTTCAGGAAAGTCAATCCAGTCGGCCCAGATATGCCCAGATCATGTTCATCCTACTTTGTGCCATCTGGCACCCTGCCAACTGCCTAGGAAATGCTACGCACAACTTCTGAAACTCTGCCTGCATGGCCAAGAGGCGTTGATCCGTAAGGGCGGTTGCTTCCACCCCATTTGGAAGGGAAAGGGCCCCATGGACTTGTGCAGCTCTTTTCGGAGCATTGTAGTCTCCAGCCACATCGGCAAATGTCTCCATCGATCCATACGACAACGGCAGAGTTATTCGCTCTCTGAGCGATACCTTCAGAAGGAGCAGATAGGAGGCCGTAGAGCTGTACCAGTGACCCTTGGTGTGCACACACTGAGGGCGCCTGCCTGAGACACTAAGATGAGCCCCGAGGGCACTGTGTGGGGCTCATCTGTCTTGATTTGACTGAAGCTTTCTATCGCATCGTGCGCCCACTCGCTTTGGGAGGATGCTTCGGTGATGAAATTCCAGACAGGACGACGTTTGGGCCTCTCTGCTGATCTACTTCAAGGCCTCTGGCATCATGTTTGTGAACCTCATACGGTGAGCTTGCTCAGCTACCAGAACAGGCCCAACATGTCCTGCGAGCCCTTCACACAGACACGAATTTTCATCTTCCTGATCTTCCTGGACAAAGCGATGTCTGCACAACATAGCCTCCAAGCTGGCCCAACATAGGGCCAACATAGGCAAACCTAGGCCCAACAGAGGCCAACATAGGCCCAACATAGGCGCAACCTCGGCCAACATAGGCCAACATAGGCCCAAGATGGCCCAACATAGGGCCAACGTGGGCCCAACAAAGACCCAAGCTGGGCCCAAGATGGGCCCAACATAGCCCAACATGGGCCCAACATGGGCCCAAGATGGCTCAACATGGCCCGACTTGGCACAACATAAGCCCACGATGGGCTCATGATGGCTTGACATGGCATGACATAAGCCTACGCTGGGCGCAAGATGGCTCAGCATGGGCCCGACGACAACGACGACGACGACAACCACAACAACCACCACCACCACCACCACAACCACAGCCACCACAAGCTTGGCCGGCGCCCGGCTGTCAGGCGTAAGCCTCATGCTTTGCCGACGTCATCTTCTCGTATCTTTGGGCGCGACTTCTCCACAACCTTCAAGGCCAATTTCCACATCAAGGGTCTCGAGAGTACAGTTCCCTCGGGAGACGACTTCGACTCCTTTGCCATCAAGGACTGGGCATGTGTTGCTCAATCAGGCTTTCTTGGACCGACGTGGATGGATGATCTTTGTCTTTGCGTCGATGCTGTTGGAGCTTCAGCGCTGGAATCGAAAGCAGGGCAATGTGCTTCCTTGCTGCTCTCCACATGCCGTGCCTTCCCAATGACACCCAACTTGAAGCCAGGTAAGGCCGAGATACTTCTATATCTCTACGTGGTCATGGCACTCAACAGCTCAAAAAGAAGTACTTCGGGCCCAACTCTCTGCATCAGATGCAGATTGCTGACAGGAACAGGATGCATTCCGTTCAGGTTGTCAGTAGCTACAGTCACTTAGGGGGCCTGATCCACCACAAACATGACAACACTGCTGAGATTCGAAGAAGGATTGCCATCGCTCAGGCTACCTTTACTCAACACAGGAAGACTCTGCTACAGAACGCTGCCCTGAGCTTGAAGCGGCGAGTTGAACTTTTTCGCAGCCTTGTGCTCAGTCGCCTTTTGTATGGGAATCTTGGGTCTTGCGCCAGAGGAAGAGCAAGCGCTATCTTCACTCTTCCATACTCAGGCTCTACAGAAGATTTCTGCCGGGTACACATGGACAACACATGACCGATGATGAACTTCTGTCGGAATTGCAGCTGCCTTCACCGAGCGAACTCCTGCGGTTGAGCCGCTTGAGATACTTGTGCACCCTCTTTGCCTGCCACGAGACTGTACCGTGGGGTCTGATCCAGGCAGATGGATTCGATACGTGATGATCTCTCTTGGATGTGGATGCAACTCCGAGGAGCTTCCTCACTTGAAGATCCTACAAAGCACTTCGCAGCTTGGAAATATCTCCTGCAATTTCACGCCCATATATTGGAAAAGACTGTTTCGACACGCTCAAGAACATGCAGTGCTTCAACGGCACAGCCAGTATGTTGTGGCTGCTGTGCACCTGCGTATCGCTCAGTGTCTTGTTGAGCAGGCCCATCTATCTGAAGATGTTCTGCGTCCCACCGTCTCCATCGAGCCCACCAAGACTGTCTTTGGCTGTATGCATTGCCAGAAGGCGCTGGCGAGCAAAGGAGGTGAGGGGGCACACATGTTCAAACATCGGTTCTAACAGCATATGGTGTGTGCCATGCTGTTCGGCGTCTCTTCGACACTGTCCTGCGCGTCTCAAGGAGCACCATACATTGGGAAAAATGAAGACTCACCTCATCCACTCCGGCCAGTGTCGGCGTTTGCTCGGGCACTTTTTGTTCGAGCTCATGAATCCCTGCTGCCTCCTCTCCAAGGCGAAGAGCCACTGGCCCCCTGCGGTTTTGGGGGAAGAACTACATCACGACCTTGTACTGGGTGAGAGCATCTACCTGGCTCTTCTGGAACGAATTGGCCATCCCACTCCACTTCCAGCGGAGACTGACCATATGCGTCCGACCTGTTTCATGAACTTCGTGTTGTAGCACCCTGGACCACCTCATCGAGCACCTCACCATTGCGGATGTAGAGGCCCTGGGCATGCTCTACCATGACCTCATCAACCTCCTTCGGTACTTCCGGACGGCCAAGGCGTGGTGCTTTTTGCAGGATAATCTACGTCGTCCTGAAGAACAAGGAGTTGTCTTGCAACACCTGCACTCCGTCTTTGAGGAAGCTGGGGCGACGCTAAAAAGTAGCTCCCTTGGGTGGCCTGGTCCCCGACCCTTTGGCCGCCACCGCTACGTTCTGCATGCCTTCTCAAGCAGGCGACGACTGGGAGACTTCCAGCACTTTGTAGATTGGCTCAGTACTATCCATGATGGCTTTGTCATTTGCACCATCTCATTGGATATCGTGGTAGATGACATTCGAGGAGATGTTGGTCGCCTGGATACCAGACGTTTCAGGGCCCACCATGTGAGACTTGGTCGAAAGCTCGTGGAGTTGCTTTACCTGGACGACAATGGATTCCTTGGCGCTGCGTGAACTTCGACAGCTGGGAGTTGGGTATCTTTTGCTGCTGTTCACATTAAAGGCCTTGGTACATCTTGCTCTGGCTGGCGGACATGGCATTTTTGAACATCCAGCAATGCCGGAAGAGCCTGGGAAGGCTTCCGTCTGGCGCTTGCCTTTGGTACGCTTCCTATTGTCCTGTGGAGATTTTCGCATGGTTACCCTGGCCCAGGGCTTGTGGGGTGCGCCGACACCAAAGCCGACAGCCAAGCACCTTCGGCCTTGGCAGCCTGCCACAAGCGACGGCGATTGGACTGGACGCTCAGGGTCAGTGGGCTACGACCTAATTGAAGGAGTACCCACCCACCAGCCTTATGTGCTGGCTTTGGCTCCGCCTTTCTTGCGGTTCATCGTGCGCATGCCACCGGTGATACCCGAGAGAGATCACAGCCGTGAGTTTACTTCCCAGTGCGAGTGCATGGAAGTCACCGCAGATGGCTGAACTCTCAATATCTCTCAATCTTTTCTAGAATTTAGACCTGCTTTGGCCGCATCGAAAGATCCGCTGTGCCACTAGCAAAAAAAATATATAAGATAGTATATATATAAATAAAATACGCGTATAATTAAATAAATATATAATAAATAAATAAATCAAAATATATATACATACACACTATGCAGCAACACAAGGTTGCACCTAAAGTCACTCAATATTGCTCAGGATTATAATATATGTACTAATATGTGGGAAGGACTTCCTTCAATGATCTCATGAAACGAACAAGCTCACTGCCCATTTAGATCCCGTCAGGTCACTAGGTTTTTGTCCTGCTTCCCTGAGGAAAATATTTCAGCTGATCCTCATTCTCCCGGCTCAGCCTTGCCACCATCAAGCTATGCTGCAGATATTGGATATCTCGTTGATGGCACGCCGTGCCTTGGTCGTGCTGATGCTGAAAGGGTGTGGATTCGTGTGGATCCAACACACTACTCACTACTCCATTGCCATAGGTCCTGCAGATTTCCCACGATACTCTTTGTTTGCGAAAGGCGTGCCCACAATATGTTTCAGATGCATCCTTTGCAGTTCTATGTGCAGATCATACGTCAATTTTCTACAACACACGGCCCGCCAGCACGTGAAAACAGCAGCATCTTGTGAGTCGGCAAGAGACGGGCACCTGGCTTATCCTGGCTTAAGTTACAGTAAAAACTGGATCTAGATAACCCCAGACATATGCACAATATACTGTATACTAATATGTATACAGGTCCATGCATCTTGATGTGTCATCTCCTCATGCCAGCAAGCAACTTGAGAATATTTTCATAGACACACCGGCGTACTTAGTTAGCCCTTGTGGAGTGCAAACATGTTTGCCTTGTCCGCAGCACCGTAGCATCTCAGGCTGGATGCAGCTGGCAACAATGCGGTGCACTGAGTGAGTAGCAGCTTTGGGCGCGTCGAATCTCGCACGTTCCCTGAACGTTCGTGCGCTGTCGACAGCTTTCTCCAGACATGATTTCAATATCAGAAAGGTTTAGAATATTTTAGAATCTAGAACCTTTCTGCAGCACTGTTGCTGAAGTCTGTTTAGGGCTGTGCAGTGGAACAGTGTCGCATTTTCATATGTAGATAGATTCATGCTCGGTCCCCCAGACCTTGTGAAGGGAGCCCAAGCAGGACGTCGATCAAAAAGCCTCGGTGACACCGTGGCAAAGAGAGGTAGATGATGGTACAAGAAAGCTATTTTTGTTTGTTTTTTGTTCCGAACCTCCTCCTTGCAGCAGTTTGATCGACGTCCAAGTCTCTGGGTGAATTATATTGCCCTCAGAACCGCGTCAAACAGAAGGGGAGCCGGAGTCATCCCAAAATAGGCTTAAATACTATGCTTAAATCAGGTTTACGTTGAGATGGTGATTACTGTATAATTTGCCCAGATGCTTCTATAAGTTGGCTAACGGGAATTGAGGCGAATACAGCCTCAAGTTCAAGCTGGCGTGAAGCCATTCAGTACAGAACCAGTGGTTCTTCAACAGAGCAGGCGACCGTCAATGCCTCTGACTTTCCTTGATGGTTGCGCATCCTTACCATCCAAACAGCTGGAAATCTGTTTTTGGCCCTTGAAATTTCCACTACGTTGCTACAACAAAGAGAATTTCATGTCCACTCGGGGTGATGAGTGATGTTTGAAATCAAGATGCAAGTGATGGAAGACATGTGTAGAAATCTAGCATTTGTTGAAACACCGGCAGATAGATAGATAGATAGATAGGTAGATAGGTAGATAGGTAGATAGGTAGATAGGTAGATAGGTAGATAGGTAGATAGGTAGATAGGTAGACAGGTACATAGGTAGATAGGTAGATAGGTAGATAGGTAGATAGGTAGATAGGATAGATAGATAGATGGAAAGAGTTGAATAGATAGAGATAGGTAGATCGGTAGATATGTAGATAGAGATAGAGATAGAGAGATAGAGAGATAGAGAGATAGAGAGATAGAGAGATAGAGAGACAGACAGACAGACAGACAGACAGACAGATAGATAGACAGATAGATAGATAGATAGAGATAGATAGATAGAGATAGATAGATAGAGATAGATAGATAGATAGATCGATAGAGATAGATAGATAGATAGATCGATAGATAGATAGATAGATAGATAGATAGAGATGCATAGATAGAGATACATAGATAGGATGAATAGAGACAGAGAGAGAGATAGATAGATAAATAGATAGATAGATAGATAGGTAGGTAGGTAGAGATAGAGATAGAGAAAGAGATAGAGATAGAGATAGAGAGAGAGAGATAGAGAGAGAGATAGAGATAGAGATAGAGATAGATAGAGAGAGAGATATATATATAATATATATATATAGATAGATAGATAGATAGATTGATCGATAGATAGATAGGTAGGTAGATAGATAGATAGTTAGATAGATAGATAGATGGAAACTTTGGGCTTCAGAAGAACACAACATATTGTGGGATGTTGGTAGGTGATGTATAGTTGTGTTATGTGATGGTATTGAAGGACCATTGCACGCGTACAGCTTTCTCCCGGCCACTGGAATTTGTGGCGCATCATACGTAAAGTTCGACGCCAACGAACCCAAAGATTGCGCGACGCCTGAGGCCTCCGCCTGAGGTGTCGCCTCGCGACTGAAAATGTCCAAGCGCAGCTGCAGGTACCAGGTACCCAACAAATTTAAGGAAAACAAACTATCGTCATCCAAAATACGGTACCTTTAAGCAAATATAAGTCGTAAGGAATGGCACAATAATCGCACCATTGTGCCAATTTATATTTTATTTGATTGATCTTTGAAAAGTACCGGTGTGCTTTTGATGGAATTCCGGATTCTTTTGATATTTTTATTCCTCTCCACAGAACAGACTCGGGATTCTTAAAGACTCCTTAGATCTCAGTCCATCATCCTGACGTTTGGAGGCGAGTGGGTGGACCAGCGACAACGCGGTGCATTTTGCACAGGCAGGAACTGATGAAGGAAGGCTGCCGTTTTTGAGGCCCAACTGGCCCAACTCGTCTCTCGGAAGTCAAGGGCATGTCAAGGGTCTGTTCCTTGATGTTCAGTGTTTGTGAGTGATTGCACGGCTGTATACACTGTACAATACATAATAAGGAATTCACGCCAATGCTGGGACGAAAAAAGATTGCAGCAGGAGTATGCGGCCAGCCTGAAAAACAGAACGCCGCGCGTAACAAAGTTTCTCAACGCACAGCCACGGCACAACAAAGTTACAGCACACCACAGCGCAACACAATGCACCACAACGCACCACAACATGGTATGATGCAACATAAGGCACGATTCGACAACAGACTTCAATAGACGATAATAAACTATGAGCACGCAAATCAAAAACATGCAGCATGATTTGACCTGCGCGAAAAGAGAGTGAGTAACGTTGTACACACACACACATATGCATATGTGTGTGATTGTGTGTATATATATATACTATCAGGGTACATCGGTGCATGACCATTTTGTCACATTCTCGTAGCCATGTTTCTGGGGTCGTGAACAGGGGTGAAAAGGAGGTACCAGGCAAGCACAAAGAGAACACAGGATCATCTTGAGGACTGCATGCAGTTTGAGTGGAGCAAGCCTGTTGTTCGCCCGCCTTGAGTGCGATGTCCGCTGCTGATGCAAACGCCGCGGCAGCTGCAGCCCCACCGGCCGCGGCTGATAGGGTTGCTGTGCTGAAGGAAGAGCGCAAAAATTTGAAACGCCAGTTAGCAGCAGCCACCAAAGAACTACAGAACCAGGAGAGTGCATGTAAATGCATGGATACGGTGTCTTTTCGTGAGTGCAGGTGGGACATGTGAACGCTGAACCCATGTTGAAAGACATGTACTCCATAGCCTGCAGGAAAGGAAACGAAGACGTCTTCTACGACAAGCAGGAAAGCTGGATGTGAGTGATTTGACGTGGCTGCTGGCACGTCGCATGCATCCAATGGCAAGCCCGCATGAGTAGAGTCAAGCCGTGCACTATGTGGAAAGCGCCATGCCAAAGACATAGAGCGCTTGGAGTGAGAGCGGCCATGTGAAGGTTCGAAAGCACCATGCCAAAGGCATGGACACTAGGAGGGAAAGCTGGCAACCGCAGACTTGCAAGCGCCATGGTCAAGACATAGAGCGCTTGGAATGAGACCATGTCAAGGCTGAAAATCCCAATGCCAAAGGCATAGCGCGGCAGGAGTGAAAGCTGGAAACCGCAGACTTGCAAGCGCCATGTCGAAGACAAAGCGCTTGGAAGACATGCGCGGTCCAGAGACCCCATTTAGAAGACATCCAGGGATACAACGCTAGATAGACAAGATATCTCCCCAAGAATCTTCCCACACCCCACCTCCAAAACATCACCTCCCCAAGAATCTTCCCACACCCCACCTCCAAAACATCACCTGACCCCCCCTGGTATATTATTATAATTCCCAAACGGGGTATGCGGTCCCGCTCCTATAAATTCACAGGTAAAGTGGTCCCGCCGACGGCGGGACCGGTCCCGCCTGCAACCTGGAATCGTGGGAATTCCCACATTTTGCGGTCCCGCCGCGGTCCCGCTGCGGTCCCGCCTATAGTAATTGCGTACTGTCGCGCGCAGCAGCAACAGCAGCTTTAAGACATTACCCCCATGCACATCCTTCCCATTCCATCATTTGCAGCGGCCATGTTCCCACATCACATCTACCTCTTTTCCACCCCTTCTTCCAGCTTCCATTCCTTTTTTTTGCAGTGCTGTCGCAGCATGGCGTCTGTGGATCGCACGTGTGCGAAGCGGCAGCCGGAGAGAACTGCAGTCACGTCGGGTGAAAACATGGGCCGTGAGCGGTTTTGTTTCTGGGGCAGACCGTCTCTGTAGATATTGCTACTCAGACACGTGCCTCTACCAGTCACATTTCTCTAGCGGAAATCATCAGCAGCATTCCTGGGTGTCAACGGTCGACACGCTTTTTCCAGACCTGTGGGCCATATGCACGTCCAGCTGTTTGTGACAATGGAATCCTAGCAGACTATCTGCTCCATGTGCTTTTTTCATGCTCAAGCCTGTGACCTGCATTCTGCTTTAAGGACGTGGTGGTGAGTTCCTTGCTGTTTCTAGTGTCAAGCCCTCTCCAAAGGAAATGGGCCACCTGACAGCAAAGCGGGGTGTCGCAAGCAACTGACGTAGCACATCGCATTGGAGCCTTGCACCCAAGACATGCCATGCAGACAGGATGTTTCCGCATTGCACTTGGGCCGAGCCATGAGATCCTCCACGACACGGAAGCGTGCTGCGTGCGGGTCGTTGCGGGAACTGCTGCAAGCCAACCAGCTCGAGGTGCCGAAATTTCGGGGTGAATTGTCTCGCGCCGACTTTGCAGCGCAACGACAGCGCCTGGAGAACTGCACCTTGTCTCCGAGTGACACTCAGAAGCTGCGAGACATCATTGACCTCTATGAGGTGCCTCACCTGTTTGTCGGGTGCTAAAGACTGCGACCCGTTGTTCGGGTCACTTTTCACATTTCTCACCCTGCTGCGACTTGCTCAGCCGTCCTGGTTGGTGCTACCATTCGCTGGGTTTGCACGGCCTTCTGGTTCACACTGTTTCTAATCAGCTTTGCAGGGCGTTGCAGCAGCAGACGAAGCTGGTGCAGCAGCATCGACCCAAGAGGATGTGGATATGGCAGCAGCCCCAGGACCAGGTCAGACCGCAAGTAGTTGCCATTCTGTCCCTGCATCCGGGACGGTGCTTTCCGGAGGGTAAGAGACCTAGAGCAGTGGATGGACATGACATGCATCAGTGACAGTAGGCAAGCCTCAGCCTTGCATGCAGATGGGAGAGACTGAACTAGAAGGGGTATAGTCATGAGTCCTAGTCGCAGCCACTTCATTGTTGCACATTTTTCACAGGTGATGCCCGCCCTTTTCGTCTTCGAGCACGAGCAGTGTTGGTAACCTACAATTCCTTGCAGCTGCAGCTGGCGGATTTCGATGAGTTCCTTACTTGGCTTGCAACGTGTGAGTGGGTCGGCAAATGGAGTGCCACGATGGAATCAAGTTTGCGTTCGGAGGATGCTGGCCGTCTACATATTCATTGCTTCCTGGAATTCGCCCGCCCCGTCGACTGGCAATCATGCACGGCGCTCCGTTTCAAGGGCATTCAGCCCAATCTTTCCCCATGTCGGGCACGGGGCGCACGCTGGCGAGA